AAAGTGGAAAAAAGCTGTGAAGACGATTTGGTGAATTACGACAACCATAACATATAAGATCGGATCAAGCAATTTTAGAATCTACTAGTTTTTGTAAACGTGAATAATACAAGTTTCAGGAATGGATGCAGTACGAGCATCTTTCAGCCATAAGGATCACCCTTTGGCAACCATTAGCTGTAAGGGTAAAAACCAGTAAGAATCACCAAAAATAACAAATCTTTACCAGGAGGCAGTTTTGGATTACTGTCTGTGATGGCGAGAAGGTTTTGTGCTAGTTTCAGAAGCTCAGCAAAACTGTAAAATCCAAACTGAGCCAGTGCTCGGGCGAGCGTTACGATCTAAAATAAAAAAAAAGGTTCAAAATTGCATTATAGTGAAAAAACCAGACTGCAGCTTTTTGTCTAGATAAACCTCGAATGTTAAGCGATTTTGATCCAGATAGGCGGCACTTGGATTCAAAACTGCTTCTCCTTTCCTAGTCGCAGCCCTTAAACCATCTAAATATTCATCAACCATTGCTAGTATTTTCTTAAATACTTCTCCTCCAGTGCGAACTCTTCCGCCATCGACATAACCCTCCACAAGTCGAATTGAAGCCCTTAAATATTCAATTCAAAGTTTATTAAAGAAATGATTACACAACGCTACAATGTAAAATTGCGCTTCTGCAAAAAAAACTGGCCGGAAAAAAATCGGTAAAATAGATAACAACGAACTGTTCAACTGATACAGTTTCCGGAATATCTCTCCAGAGGCGAGCATGACGAATTGCATTTAGTGGGGAACCACGCACGACATGCAAATGAAGCATTAACCTTGTGAAAGATGCTCGTAATTCGTGAGGAAGTCTGCTGTCTGACATACATCTAAACCAATAAATTCTGCATGATAAGAAAGTGAGTTTTTTAGATTAACAAAAAAGGCCAGAAATAGCCATTAAGGAACTTGAAAAATAAGAAAAAGTTAATACCTTAGCACTAATTCAGCTGGTAGCTCAGTGCTCAGGTTTAACAAGCGTCTTTCTGGTGGAGGATCGATAGCCAAATACTGTTGCTCTTGACACATTTGTGCCAAAAGATCTAACTGATGTCTGAAAACCATTAACTGTTACGTTCAAATCTGAAGTTAAGGAAAATGTGAATTAGCACCTGTAAATTAACAAATTCCACAAATAATTCTTTTAAAAATAATCTTTATAAAAGCTAGAATACCTGTAATACTCAAGCATTTCCAAGTCTTCCGAATTTCCAGCCACTGCGCTTTCTGATATGTCAACAAGCGTCTTGCAGTATCGATCTGCCCAACATATAAAAACTTCCTCCTTGCCCTAAAGAATTATTCTGTAAATCAAAGTTAAAGCACTTTTTTGTAACAGACCTTTACCAAAGACGCAAAAATGGTGTAAACGATAAAGAAATATTATTTACTCTAAAAACTGCCACTTTCGTTTCCATGAATATATCCCTATTTGCCTCACTTAGTACGCAGTTACATATCAGCTCTTGAATCTTCTTGTTAGCTTCGCCTCTACATACGCATAAGTCAGCCAAATAGTCCAGAAACCTTAAACAGCATAGATTGCTTTTAGGCAAAAAAAGAATTGAATCAGAAAGATAAGGGCAGTTATCAGAAACATACTTTCCGGCACGGTTATTACGGACAAGTTCAACAAAGCGCTCGACGTGAGGATTTTTTACGTATTTTTCCAACAATTTGGGATTGTTATGAAGAACGGCTGTCATTGTGTCCTCAGCCAACAAATCAAACCCGATTTGCTCCTGGATTTGTCCAAATTTTTCTGCCAAATGCTCTTGATTTTTTCTATATCCGACTTGTGCATACCTGGAACAGGATAGCAGTACTGATAAAATTCTACGTTTTATATCATTACTGCTTCTACAATATTTATTCCCTTCAGCGAAGCCCACAGTTGTTAGTAACTATAACGACTGTTCAGTTAAGTGGTCAAATTCATTTTTTGTTGAAGCGAATTTAGAATATGTTTGAAACTTTGCTTTTTTCAGTATTCAAAACATTCTAGAAAAAGCAAAACAGCTTTCAGAATGAATAAATTTGGGGTATTACCTCAACAAAGAATAGCAAAGTTGGAACATTCTTTTGAAAACTTCGTTCCTTTGCTCAGCCAGTTCTTGAGGAGAGTTCAACAACGGACCAATTTCGTTATCACCTTGACGAGGTAAAAACGGTGCTCTTAGCAAGTCAAATATCTAAAAAATTTGTATTACAACATGTAGAAGATATTTTTATTAAACATATGATTTCTGTTCTCAATGTTTAATTTTACTTTAGAAGAAGCAACTGCACCTGCGCAAGAACACCTTGTTCACGCAGTAACTTTTGACGATCTCTTGACGGTTTGAAATCCACAATTTTCAATGGATCAATCATATGGTTTGTTTCATTAGTGACAAAATAAATACATTCCGTTAACAATTGTACTGTTACACTAAAAAAGACAGAAAAAATTTATTAAATAAAGAATAAATTCCCCAATTTTGACTGCGTGGGGTTCCACCTAAGACAATTTTATTGTGAAAAAATTTAAGTTATAATCCTTTCAAGTTTATGTCAAGAACTATAAAACTATTCAGTATAACATTAGAAACGATAACTGACTTGAGTGCTTCCTTGCTAATTATTTGGCCGTGTTTTATATGCGATATAAAATTATCTAATGCTCTACAGGCATCATTAGCAAAGTCGAGGTCTCGAACTTCATCAGGCGATACTGGTAGCAATGCAAATGTTTCTTTGTCAATTTTAAAGTTCTCGCTCACCACTTTTACCCAGCCTTTTTCATTTTTGCTGCAAAAGTAAACGGTTTACTCAGTTTTTAACATTTTCTTTTACAACATTTACCTGTTGCTTTCTCTGCTTCTGAGAAAATCAGAAAACTATGTCGAATAAAACAGCAGAAGAAAACAGCAGCATTTAGAATCTAAATGCATAAAAAACATAAACATTATACCAAAGCTTTTTACAAATTATCTTTTCAAAGAAATTTTTTACCTATATTTGGCTGTCTCTAACAAATTTACTTTACAAGTTCTTTTTTTCAAAAACGAGCTAAGTGGTCCATGATGGTTTGTCACATACAAGCATTTTTTGCCCGTTTCATCAATCATTGTTATTTTTAAAAAATTTGAAACCAGAAGAATCAAAAAACATAAAAGACGATACTAAACCTGAAATGGTAAAGATTCTCTTTCTTCGTTGGGTCTGTGGTGTGAACCCAGGTTTTTGTCATTACATGATGCAACCGAACATAGGTCCTTTGTGGAATCCGAGCTTCCATCTTAAGAATTTAGAATTCAAACGCCTAATAAATATTTTGTGCTTTACTGCGACAAGCATACGACTTGTTTAACTTTCATTGCCTCTATAGCACTTTCTCAGCACCAAAAAAAAGCTTTTTAAAGATCACTGGTTAAACAGCTTTTTCTAAAATTTTCTGTAAATTAAATAATTTGTGCTTTCTACATGAAGATTTAACTTTGATCTTATCTTCTGTTTCTCTTTGAAAAATTAAGGTACTGATATATCTTTTTTAGTTATTTTACACTAAAAATTGGCTTGTTTTGCAAAAAAAACCTTTGTAAGTGTGCAAGGATCTAAAACAAAAATCAGTGTTGGATCGTCTTCTGGTCGTTCAGAATTTTTTGGAACCAAGTAATAGTAATCGTACTCATCTTCGGGAAGTCCTTCACTGTTTTCTGTTTCGTCGCCTAAAAAATGCTGCTTTATGTTGTTCGGTTGAACTGTAACAGTTGGCAGTGAAAAAAGCATAAAAACATCTTATGCAAAAGCGCATAAGTTTCCTTAATAATTAAAAAAATCAAACTGATATTCAAAGTTGCTGGTGGTGTAGTAGCTTTTGGCATCTCTCGAAGACCATCTCGTCTAACTCCTTCAACACTTAGATACATATCAGTGGCTAAATGCTTGAAACGGTATCTTTGAATCCAATTTGCTGCTCCTCCCCGATATGCTTCTTGTTGAACGACCTGTAAGTTTATCAATTTCGACTTGTTAATGTACTGAAATACGAGGAAGTGAAGGCCTTATGAAAAAAAAAAGAAAAGATAGGTTTTTTAAAAACAACTTCACTGTATGGCAATGTCATTAAAATTTTAAAATTTTAGTAGTGTTATTTCTTTTAGACATATTTACATAAAAACTGTGCACAGTACTTCTGCTCTGTTCTAAAGCTTTGTTTTTTATTCTATAAGCAATGCGAAAAAATACGTGTAAACGTTGAACAACTGTAGAAAAAAATATTCGTCATAGAGTAATTTTTATGGCGAACGATTACCACCCAGAATTGAAAAGCCGTTTGAAAAAAGAAATGAAAAAAGTGTGTCGTTTAGTAGAGTTTTGTACCTGAACCTCCCAGAGTGCACGAGATGATGTGGCATCTGCAGCAGATGGTCGATTTGTCAATCGAAGAAAAACAACATCATCACCTTTTTTTGGGATATTATCTAATGTTAAAAATGTTTGCTGATCTGCATGAAAGAGCCTCACAACATCACCCTAAATTAATCAGCACATAAATTCTTTCCGTAGACTTAAAGTTGCCTAAGTGTAATGGCTTTGTAATACTTACCGACTTTACAATATCGGGCTGATTTTCATCAAACTGCAGAAACATAAATACCTGCCATTCGGTAAGCTCGTTAAGACAGTTAACTTCACAAGCAGTTGGATGGTCTAATAATCTGTAATTAAAAAGGCACAGCCTACTTATTCTTAAACGGCGGTTACACAATTAGTGTAGAAGAGAAGAAGTTAGAATGATAATGCAACAAACTTCATATGTGATAAGTGTATTTGTGGTTTGACGTGACTTCCGGCGCCCGAAGCCGACCCGTATGAATATGGCACTAGACTAATTCTGTCACCCGCATTAACCTGTAACTTAGTAAGCTAAAAATACTAATAAACTTTTTTAAAATATTTATCCAACAAAATTTTTTGTGAAATAGAATTTTTTTTATCTTTTTAAAGTTTATTTAGCAATTATAAATGGCAGCAAAAAGAAAACTAATTAAAATAAGATAAGATAAAGAGAAGCAATAAAATTTTTTAAATTTTTGATATTGTGACTTCAGAAAAGCTTATTATTTTCTTATTTGCTTTTCTAATTTTTTTTCAGTACTTTATACTGTATTGTTTCAAAGATTGAATTTAAAACAGATTCTTGATTTCTTTTGACTTAGAAAAATTACAAAAAGAATTTACTGACACTATCGCCAAGAAACGAATGCTTGTAGACTGGCTCAACGAAAAACCAAGATCCTTCGTTTCCAGTTTTATCCAAATACACTTTCATCGCATTACGTTCTAATTTAGCTGGCGAATTCTTCATTACCGTTAGATATTTGTCAGATTTTACATGAAGTAGCTAAAAATTTTTGTCATTTGTTAATTGTCTAACAGATTTATTTTGGAAGATGCAAATTATAGCAAAAAAGGTTGTGTTAAAAAATTGACAAACCTGAATTGTACCGCCATATTGAACTGGTACACCTAACATCTTTCGATATTCCATATCATTTTGTTCTTTTTCCTTGTCGGCAGCATTTTTAAGCTTCTTAAGCATATCTTCTTCAAATACTGATTCTCCGGCTTGAAATTTTTTCTGCTCTGTCCAGTACTGTTTTTGTGCAGCATAACGATTAACTGGACATATTCGAAATAAACAGTCTGTAAAAGCAAAAAGATAACTTTCTTTGGTCATTTTAGCGCTATATTAGATTTGTACTAAATAAAAACAAATAATCTTTTGCTTACCTCTAAACTTTTTTGGTGGTGATTCAGGTCCACCATCACCATTTTCTACTATACAACGATCATCAACAAGCCTAAAAAAGGAAAAAAAAACTTTGTTTTGTATAAATGTACCACTTTGAAGTTTTTTACTGATTTTGTAAAAGTACTATAAATTGAATCAAGTTATACGACGTTTTTTCCAGTTAACAGCTGCTAAGCACATGAAAAACCAATTAAAAAATATTAAATATGTTGTCAAACAAATAACCCGAATAGATTTTTTCACCATTTAGTGTACCTGATATACAAGTATTATTCGAAACTATTTTTTTTGTCAAATATACGATCAAAGGTTAGTAGGTTAAGTAGAAATATAGCTGGTTAAAAAAACAATCGGAGGTAATTCTTTAGTTGTTTAAAAAGTGTTTTTTGTAACATAACTTCTGTATATTCTTCATATAAACCATAAAACGAAAAAAAGGCTTTAACGAAGGTGGAAAAATGTGAATATCAATAAAGTATTAATGATAAGATGAGCAATGAGACTAAGAAAAGATTCAAAACAGTGGTTATAATCAGTGAAGAAAATTATGTAAAAAAAAGTGTTAATCTTTCTTTTTTTATCTTCTTTTATCTCTATTGCTTTTCCTCTTTTTTTCCTTTTGCTTTTCTAATAGCACACTTTTAATCAACAGCTTAAATTCTGTTTCAAAATTTGTTGCTTTTCATTGCAGTATTATGTCAGTCGCAGACAGTTACACTGAATATATATAACAAAGAAACAAAGAGACAAAAGAGAAGAACAAAGCAAACTTTTTTGATCCATTTTCTGTCATCTTACCAACTTTTAGAAACACTATAAGAACCGTTGTTTTTGTAATTTGATAAGCCACAAAAACAGTAAATCAAAGAACTGGAAAAACGGTAATTGAAACAAATTCATCTTTAAAGTAACCTAAATTTCTTCTGAGTAACTTATTGCTTAGTAGACAACAAAGCTTCCTGTAGTTGATAGCTTTCTTCTGGTAGTGCGAATCTTTCAAAAAATGTTACTTTTAAAACTAAAACACTAAGATTATTCCTAGCGCCAGTTATTCTTTTTATACTTGGTAAAAAAAAAAAAGGAATTTTGTTTTACAAATAAATAATCGGCTAGATAAGACTTCTTTTTGATCACCTAACCACCAAACACCGTCCGTCTCAGTCTCTTTTTCTGTATTAACACCAAAAACTTCTGTTGTCTAACTGATCTGCAAGATATTTTTCCATGTTATTACTTTGTTTTATTTCTGATTTCCACATTTCTTAACATAAAAATTTGTTTTTGCATTTTTTTAAATGTAAAACAATTTGTTGGTAAAAGCAAAAAAGCAAAAAAAAAAAAAAAAAAAAAAAAAA